CCCCAAAACCCCAAAACCCCAAAACCCCAAAACCCCTGATGTTTAATATAATAGAATAATAGTGCTAACAAATCAATTATGGTCCGACAATTTTTAAGCGTAAATAACCTGAGAGTACTAGTAAGCTAGATGTTGGTCAGAGTGTTCAGTACAGACGTTAGAGAGTCATCCTCCCTTTGTGTCTCAGTGATGTCGATCTCAAACCTAGCTGCTTCTTCTCATCTGTCGTTGAAACCGAGTCTTGGAAGATTTCTATAGGGGTTAATTCGGTGAAAGTTACTTAAAGAAACTCTCTTCACATCCTTCTTCGGAAGGATTAGTCTTTATACTTGAGAAACAGGAGTAATCGCCTTCATTCTCCATTGTCTTCTTTGTCTGTGTGTGGGTCAAGTGCATTAATGGTAAAATCCCAACTGGGAGATCTATATTAGTAATGTAGTAACACAATTTTTCAAATTTTGAAAATCAGAAGTCAATGTTCAACAATTGGTGTTAAAGTAATAGTACTTACTCTTAGTATCTAGCTTCCTCTTCGTTTTAACCAGAAAACTTCTTGATGGGTCCTTCTATATAATTATAGCTTATATTAGATATCTAGAGCCTACCTGCATCACAGTTTTTTCTTTGTGGGAAGAGACGTCTTCGTCAATATCCAAGTTAATATCAGTATTCTCGCTCTTGTCTCAGCACGACGTATCTGGCGCAAAAATAATCTTCCTCTTGCTCTTGGCCTGTACGGTCTTAGGAGAGACATAGGATACAGTATCAATACTAAGCGTCTTTGAGACATCGTTGACATCTACAGGGATCATATTGATTTCCTCTTTAAACTCAGAGTCTTTATAAAAGGCATTCTTGGAAGAATCTGAACGCTCCTTAGCCAGATTTATACTGACTGCTTTCACTACTAGGCCTCCTACAATAGCTGGCTGTGAGATATTCCTATCCTGCGACTGGCTGGTATCGTCTAGACTATAAACAAACAAGGGTACTTCTAGTGCTGTTAAGCATCGAGACTTGGCCTCTGCAAGGCTTTGTCTTGTAATTAGATAACAACCTGTAATTAGGAAGCGAGCCCTTCACCTGAAAGGCTTTCCTCTTGTTGACCTTCCAGTAGCCACAATCCTGGTTGGCAAAACTAGAGAAGGACCTCATGTTGTCTAATTTGCTACTGTCTTTGGAAGAGTAGAGGAAGATGTCCGTCTTCATTGGAGTCACTGCTCAAGTCTCATTCTTGTTTTTATCGAGGCTAGATTAAGGTGAGTTGTGAAGGATTTAAGTTCAAAATTTGGGAGAGAAGGTGAGGAGTTGGGATATAGCCTTAATTTTTGTGTAAATAGTGTTTTTATAGTAAACAGAAAACTGAATCAGCTTTTGTATAAGAATTGTAATTTGCCAAAATCTTAAAGCTCCTTTTGAAATAATTTCTAAGGCTTTTAGGAGGAGTAAGATTTTGCAGACTTACAATAGGTTTTAAAACTAGATTTGAACAGGACTATAATATTCACAAGTTCACATTAAAATTATAAAAATTTTAAGAAAATTCCAATGCCTCAATCATCCAAGCCCAGTCCTAAGCACCCTCTCCACCCCTCTCAAGCCCCATCCAGGTGCCCCACTAACTTTTTCCAGTACGAAATTTTTCCAATCGCAAAAATTCCGCTTAAACTCTATCTAAGCTCCATACAAGCAATGCAAAGCTAAAACTGGTCATGAAAAATGGAAGGAAAGAGTTGGAATACCCCAATATGCTGACACTTGGAGATAATCTGGTGGTCCTTGTGGGTTGCTAAGGAAGCAAAATCTATCTTTTCACAGATTTATTACCGTGCTTACCACCTAAGACCGTATAGGTACAGACATACTCCATTAATAGCGCAGAATGATTCGTGAGAATGGCTAATTACCCATTCTTGGTAAAATTACTTACTCTTTCCTAAGGCTGAGCGGTTGAGGATTAAGGGCTGATGACATTTTCAATTATAATTTCTATAAAAGGGGTTTTGGGGTTTTGGGGTTTTGGGG